AACCTGAGCAATGGCTTTGAATTTCAGAATAACAAGCCCAGAGTCATAGCTACTCTTGCACTGTTGTGACCCTAAAATTCAACATTGAATACTGTTACCATAGCACGTGGGTGAGTGTCACAGCCGTTTGTGCTGTCGAACCCACAATCTCCCTACAGCTGGACGAACAAAAAGACTATGTTAGCCACATAGATGGTCCATTTTTTCATCAAGACTCACATCAGGACAATGTAGTCAAAAATATTTAAACAAGCAGCCTGTCGGCTGAGATAGCTCCGCTGTTAGCAATGCACATTTCAATTAAAGAACAGAAGATATCATTAGAAAATGAACAATATGTAGACTTGTGGTTTTTAACAAGAAGTCAAAATTAGAGAACTAAATATGTCATTACAAAATGAAAAAATCTAAAAGAGGTTTACCCAAGGTACATATACACCAAGTATCAAAGCATTCAGGCTTATAGTTTTCAAGAAGAAGTCGAAAAAATAAAACATTGACACGGACGATGGATGATGGATGACGGACGACAATGGACAATCACTCATATGATAAGCTCCGCTCGACAAAGTCGACAGCGGAGCTAAAAAACCTGATAGTACAGTTGATCATGTGATGTTCATGATTCAAATCAACACATAGACATAATACTCAGTAAGTTACTGGTAATGATAAGTTACTGCAGTGTCATTGGTGGTAATGACAAGTTACTGCAGTGTTATTGCTGGTGATGACAAGTTACTGCAGTGTTATTGCTGGTAATGACAGGTTACTGCAGTGTTATTGCTGGTATAATGATAAACTACTGCAGTGTCAATGCTGGTAATGACAAATTACTGCAGTGTTTTTGCTGGTAATGACAAGTTACTGCAGTGTCATTGCTGGTAATGATAAAATACTGCAGTGTCAATGCTGGTAATGACAAATTACTGCAGTGTTATTGCTGGTAATGACAGGTTACTACAGCGTAATTGCTGGTAATGACAAGTTACTGCAGTGTTATTGCTGGTAATGACAGGTTACTGCAGTGTTATTGCTGGTAATGACAAATTACTGCAGTGTTATTGCTGGTAATGACAAGTTACTGCAGTGTTATTGCTGGTATAATGATAAACTACTGCAGTGTCAATGCTGGTAATGACAAATTACCGCAGTGTTTTTGCTGGTAATGACAAATTACTGCAGTATTATTGCTGGTAATGACAGGTTACTGCAGTGTTATTGCTGGTATAATGTTAAACTACTGCAGTGTCAATGCTGGTAATGACAAATTACTGCAGTGTTTTTGCTGGTAATGACAAATTACTGCAGTGTTATTGCTGGTAATGACAGGTTACTGCAGTGTTATTGCTGGTATAATGATAAACTACTGCAGTGTCAATGCTGGTAATGACAAATTACTGCAGTGTTTTTGCTGGTAATGACAAATTACTGCAGTGTTATTGCTGGTAATGACAGGTTACTGCAGTGTTATTGCTGGTATAATGATAAACAACTGCAGTGTCAATGCTGGTAATGACAAATTACTGCAGTGTCAATGCTGGTAATGACAAGTTACTGCAGTGTTATTGTTGGTAATGACAAATTACTGCAGTGTTATTGCTGGTAATGACAAGTTACTGCAGTGTTATTGCTGGTATAATGATAAACTACTGCAATGTCAATGCTGGTAATGACAAATTACTGCAGTGTCAATGCTGGTAATGACAAATTACTGCAGTGTTTTTGCTGGTAATGACAAATTACTGCAGTGTTATTGCTGGTAATGACAGGTTACTGCAGTGTTATTGTGGTATAATGATAAACTACTGCAGTGTCAATGCTGGTAATGACAAATTACTGCAGTGTTTTTGCTGGTAATGACAAATTGCTGCAGTGTTATTGCTGGTAATGACAGGTTACTGCAGTGTTATTGCTGGTATAATGATAAACTACTGCAGTGTCAATGCTGGTAATGACAAATTACTGCAGTGTTTTTGCTGGTAATGACAAGTTACTGCAGTGTTATTGCTGGTAATGACAAGTTACTGCAGTGTTATTGTTGGTAATGACAGGTTACTGCAGTGTCATTGCTGGTAATGACAAGTTACTGCAGTGTTATTGTTGGTAATGACAAATTACTGCAGTGTTATTGCTAGTAATGACAAGTTACTGCAGTGTCATTGCTGGTACTGATAAAATACTGCAGTGTCAATGCTGGTAATGACAAATTACTGCAGTGTTATTGCTGGCAATGACAAGTTACTGCTGTGTCATTGCTGGTAATGATAATATACTGCAGTGTCAATGCTGGTAATGACAAATTACTGCAGTGTTATTGCTGGAAATGACAAGTTACTGCAGTGTTATTGTTGGTAATGACAGGTCACTGCAGTGTCATTGCTGGTAATGATAAAATACTGCAGTGTCAATGCTGGTAATGACAAGTTACTGCAGTGTTATTGTTGGTAATGACAAATTACTGCAGTGTTATTGCTGGTAATGACAAGTTAC